TGCTTACTGCTACTGTAGTTATTTATTTTTTCGCTTGTTTCATTTCATTTTGGCACAAACTGTAACATTTTCTCAGGAAGAGTGTCTGCTAAGAAATCGCAGATCGAAAAACTGAACCTGAACGCTACCATGGAATCCATGACACAGCCACCCGAGAGCGATCTGTCACCTTCTGCAGGGAACGTCTCAGAGGCGATTGAAGCCCTAGATAGTTTGTGGCTGTACTCTGAGCGGAATATTACTGGAAATGGAAATGAGCCGGATGCCCAGAGTCTGGCGGAAAGACTAAATCAAAAACGTAATAAGTAGCCCATCATAGTTCTTTGCTTATTCTCTTGTAATTGTTTACAGTAATGAGTTCCGTTGACTTTAAGACCATTGAAGTGATCCAGTTGTTATCGAGGCAATCCGTAGGGTCGCTGTTAGGAATAGTGGAATGGGTTCACCTACGTTCGCGTTTTCTACCAATAGTGGCCGATTCGGGAAGAAAACAACCAGTGGTAGAAAATGAAGCGGGTGGATTCAATCCACACCTCCTGGCACCACACCGACTGACTGTTACAGTATCAGCCGCATGTTGAGGTTTTAAACGAATTTCGAATAAGGAATTAATAAATCACTGCATACTATGACGTCATCGCTCTCTTTCTGGAACATAGCAAATTTTACTACCAATTTTTGGGCAAATGCAAAAAATTGCGTCTTGCTGCTGTCGTGGGTACGTAGCGATTCCATCGTGGCGGTGGTGGGCGTGGCGTGCGCCGCCGCAACGTTTGCTTATCAGCAGTGCTGTCTCACTGGTCCTTTGAACTCTCAAAAGGATCCGTCTCACTTTGAAGAACAAGAGTTTTTCTTCTCATTGACAGCTCGTGTGGATACGGCAGCGGAACTGTGCGACTCGCCGCACGCAGCGTAAGCTCTCAATCAATGCAGTACGTGGTGCTGTCGGTGCCCTCCCTTGATTTTCCTAATGACACTGAGAAATCACCTCTCCATCTTATGCCTTTCCTTCAGTCTCCCTCGTGGTGCAGTCCACACTAACCATGTGGGCCAAGTGGGCGCAAAACAACGCCTGTTGACTGCGTTCCATACTTAAGACAGCGTTCAGACTTCGCGACGGCAGCGCCTCGGTCGCGCGTTCGGCGCGATCGATGCGCATGCTTTCAACTGCATCGATCGCGTCGAACGCGAAGCGCTGCCGTCGCGAAGTCTGAACGCTGCCTAAAGGAAGTGGGCACTATTGCTGGAATCGGGATGAGAGGGGTGCCAACGTCGCTGCCAACGTCATCAGTGGAAGGGCTGCGAGAGAGCGCTCAGTCACGCCCCATTCATCCCTTCCACCAATGACGCTGGCGACTACAGCGACCCTGCCCACTGCTCTTAACCCATCAAAACAAAGGAGAAGTAATGGAGCAGATGTCGTTTATTTTCCGAGCGTTTTCGCTGAGGTATTTTCTAGAGGACAGATTTGGTCTTGTCGAGATTCGGCTTTTCTCATTTTGCCGGCTATACGTACTAAACACGTTACTGCCATCGATACTGAAGACAATAGTATTACAGTGTAATGCACAACCGACAAATAAGGGCTAACGGCCATCAGGAGAGCACCAGCCAATCCCTGAAACAGTAATGTTTATTGTTTAAAAGAAAATAGTTGAAGAAACAAAGGTTACATTGACCTTTCCCTAGAACCCTGGAACTTTCCCAGCCCCTCCCTCCGACGGAGCTCTACAGTCTTGTTCGCTACAGATGCCAAGGCGGATCAGGGTGGAAGAATTGTTACATATCGCGCTAGCTGTTTCTACCAATGAATACCAAATGGGTAGGAAGGTATTTCTATTGATTTTTACTATAGACCTTATAATGACCTACCTTGATAGAATTCGAAGGCAAATTCCTGAGCTCGTTTATGGGGCAGCGCTAGGGCACTTTTCGGTATTATTTCATCTAGCATGGAGTCCGCCATATCGCTAAAGACGCGATCACCATGAAAAGAAATCATACAAAAATTGTGGTATGTAGATACTGAAAGCCGAAGTTTATGTAGTGTGACCTACTGGGTTAATCTATGCAGGATCATCGAGTAACAAACTGTGCCCATACGGTAACTGAAATTAGACAGCCACCATCAAAGCCATACAAGATCTGATCCTGAATCCGATGAACATCGTGGGTTCAAGCCCAGAATCTTTGATTCCTCTTCCACATCGTGCTTATGATCACTCCCACTGAAGGGATGCATTTTCTGGTTCTTACCCTAATTTTCTTGCTGTTTAGCATTCTAGGTGCACCACGCGTCAGCTATCATGCCTACCCCCCCCATGCATAACCTTTCTGAATCTTCGAAATAACTTCGGAATTTCACTCACTAGAAACTTCCCCAGTACCAACAGCCATGCTGAAGAAAGCTGGCAGGTATATGTGAGCAGAGAGCGATTTGGTGAACACCAATGACGTTGAATAGACCGACATCCAGAAGGCGGTGTAGAATCCTAGATGAATGAAGAGGGGCAGCAAAGTGACCATTCGTTTGTCTATGAAGATTCTTCTGGATCTGATCTGAAGCAAAGCACGTACAGGTTCGTGATAGTAGCACACCTAGTCTGAGGGCTGCGTTCATAGTTCGCGACACTTCGCAACCTGAGGAATGCGGGACTTACAAAGAGACAGTCGATAGGTTCAACGAAAGTGTTACGAGACAATCGTAATATGCGCGCTAACGGCCTAGAAGGAAAACTCGTCTGTGAAGCGAGCGACGCCGCGCCACATGGACGAGTTGTCCTACCTGGCTGTCTGAATTGTTAAAAGGACGAGAACATTCGATAGCGCCTGTCACGAAGTCTAGTCCCCCTTGAGTTCACATGAGTTCCACTAGTTCCGGTAACAATCTGATACACAACCAGCCACGCGTCGCCGCATGATACTTCGCGGCCACGACGCGACAAATTTCGATTGTCCTGTCCGTCTCTCAGGTTGAAACGCGCGCCTCAAGTGACTCAGAGATCAAAGGAGTCCGAAAAGCTGTAAATGATGGTTGTTGAATTTATGCTTTTCAAACTCAGTCGCTTGAATAGCGCGTTCCAAACGACCGCTGATGACGCGAACTGTGAACGCAGATGTAGTACTCACACATTTCCTCGCGAAACGTTCCTGTAACACTCGTACGCTTCCCTTTCTCTTCCCGATACAGTCCTTGATCTCACGTGCTGGCGCACAAGCGAATACTAGATTAGCACAGAGCGTTACTGCAGTGAATGCACCGTAGATCGTTCGGATTTCGACATCAGAAAACTGTCGAAATCCGCGTTTTGAGGGGTCCTCGGTCGTGTACGTTGATGGCTCCACAGACATGACCGTTTGGCTATTTAGTGAGAAAATTCCAGCCAACGTCACTCCACCCACAATCATACTGTAATTGATCAGAGACTATTTCAGACCACTAGTAAGTAAATCCCTTCACCAT